GCAGAACGTGCCCTCTCGTCTCATCGATCTTGATCTGGTCACCATAATACCGTCACGATTTAGAGGTGTGACTGCAGATGGAGTAAGGACTGACGAGTGGATTTATTGACCACTTATATACACCACTCGGAACTACAAGCACTGATTTCCGCACTTTCCAAATACCTACACGCTAAGCCTTATCCAGTCTGCAGTGTCTTAATCAGTCATCGCTTGGTAACAGCTCTCAACAATGGAGATTCTTCAGCTTCTTTGGTTACGCAGTTGTCCTCTGCTTAACACTCCACAACCGAACTATCAAGCATCATCTCTTCTCAGCCTCCCTTGCAGAACCTAACTCTCAACTGTCCGGGTCGCTCCAATTGTCTTCCTTATAACTCCTTTGCACGGTCCGAGTAGAAAACACAGTTTCCAACAGTAACGTTTGTGTTCCATTTCATTGCATTGCAGCGGGAACATGTTTACGGATCCGTTGCTTAGAAATGGGTTCGCATAACACCGTTATTTATTCGCCTCTGTCTCGGCCATTGCATAGCAACGGCTGTCCACGTTACAATATTTTTGATGACGAATGCAAATTAGAACGTTCATCATTATGCAGTTTTCTTCACTTTCCTGATAATTTTCGATCAAATTTTGATTTTAAGATCATAAAGGAACAGGTTCGTACTTTGTTGCGAAAGCTTCTTTCCTCAGATTTCGTGTGTTCAGATAAATAAGGTCGAGTAGGAACTTAAGATGCAGGAAACGTTATTCTGAATTTCTGACTATTTCCCTTTCTCAAGGAACGAAAAGAAATAGATTTATGCGACGGGTACGCCGTCCTCTTATATCGCCCTTTTAAATTCCATAAAATACTGGAAATTCCACTGAAAATTCTACGAAAAATCTGGAAGTATTTTACGTTAATAAGCCTATTGAAAGTACCCGATCCTATTATTTCAGGAATTTGCTCTCAATTGAATGATCTGTCAGAACAAACATTTTACTAGACATCACGAGTGAAGAAAGCAGTCTTCTGGGATTTGGCACCGTGTATATGTGGTGTTAACCGACGGTTCGGAGGAACGTATCGCCTCCAACTTCAGGGTAGAAGAAAATATATAAGAAATCTGCAAGCTAAGAGACCGTGAGAACCGGTAAAAGCAGACTGGTCTTCATAGTCACCGCCATGAAAGCCTCAAATCTTACATCACGAGTGAACTTAGTGGCTAACATGAGAAACTAGTAGCTAACACGTCACGGGTTTTTCCTTTAATTATACTGCTATTACACATACCTCCACACGTCTTCATGGCGTCGTTGTTAATTAATTAGCACAGTGACAGCTTTATGTTTTAACAGTAACAATAATAATAATATCTGCAGGAATATAAATGTAAGGAATAGATGCACAGAACCCCGCGTGGGGCCACCAGGTTCAATTGTTACCTGCAGAAAGTTCAAGGCGCCATTCCATTTGTGACTGTTCAACGGAGCGAGTTCGATGTAGGACCACAACACACAATTTAAAAAGCCGTACTGAATCCGGGTCAGGAATTCAGAAGATTAATATTTCTTGAGGCGATATGACTTCTTCGGAGAAGATGTTGCGGAAACGCTATGTCACCGCTTACTGAAAGCGATTATCTCCCCTAGTTGCTACATATGAGATCGTAGAGTGAGATGTTTGGGCGGCAATTATACGGGCTTGCTGGGGAAACCGTAAACTGCACAATGACATTTATGTGCAGAGCAAAAGTGGGCTATAGCTCTGTGTAATTACTTCGTATTTCAATGTATCGCGCAATGAACATGTTTGGTAGCACATGAAACAAACATGAGATGTGAGGGACATGTAGCACGAACGGGAGAGAGATGAGAAACTCCATATAACATTTTGATCTGAAAACCTGAAGGGAAAATAACACTTGGGATAAATAATTAATTAATTATTCGTTGCTATAATAACGTTACATTACGCCTGAAACAAAGTGAAGTGTCAAATAACAGAGGGAGGTCAGTGGGCTTTCTTGCTCAAAGCATTTTCTATAGCCTTCAGTTGTTCTGACATTCTACTCTAATGCAGCATAATTTAATAACAAAATGAATAATTTGGTGTAGAATATACATGAAGTTGGGGCATGCTGTAGCGTAGTTAGTTGAGGTACTATGCTACAAATTGAAAGGTCGCGAGTTCGAGTCCCGATGAGGTGGATTTTTTTCAATTAACCTAATCCTTCCAGTCCCACTATGGCCCTGGGGTCGACTCAGCCTCTAAGAGAAATGAGTACCAGGAATCTTCCTGGGGGGGGGGTAAAGGGCGGCAGGTGCGTAAGGCTGAGAACCTCACTGCCATCTGCGGGCCGATTGTATAGAGAAAATGTGGCAGTCCAGACGTCTCACAACCCCATGGGCCTTCATGGCCTGTTTTAGAGATAGTTTTAACTTTACCCTTAGTTTTAAATTATTGGAAACTGTTAAAATAAAGGATTAAAACAAAATTAAACGAAATAATAAATAAAGGAGACATAGGCAAATTGTATCATTCTTTAGCCCTTCTCATGGAGAAGTATTAACTGCAGTTGGTACCTGTGTTCTTATGTTCCCCATAGATTCTCAAATTTTCTGATATTGAAGAAACACAAAGGAACATGAAAATAATCGCCTTTGGATATATGACACCATTTAGTCTCGTATAACTGTGCCTACATTTCGGAGGAATCTTCTGCCTCCATATTTCATATTTATCCTGAAGAAGGGGGAAGAAAGTGTTTCTGAAACGTTAGTAATTTTCTGCCATAATACACAGCGCCTTAGAATGATCAGGTGAAGAAGGATGAGGTGGGTAGGGCATGTAGCACAAATGGTGGAGACGAGGAATGCATATAGGATATTGGTGGAATAGCCAGAAGGAAAGAGACCACTGGGAAGACCAAGCCGTAGTTGTGTGGACAATATTAAAATGAATCTTAGAGAGATCGGATGGGGTGATATGGATTGGATTGATCTGGCTAAGGGTAGGGTCGAGTGGATGGCTCTTGTGAACAGGGTAATGAACCTTCGGGTTCCATAAAATGCTGGGAAATTCTTGAGTAGCTGCAGAAATGGCGGCTCCTCCAGAAGGGCTCAGCTCCATGAGTAAGTAAGTAATTAGCTAAGGCCGCACCATAGCTCAAGCGATTAGTCGCTGGCTTCCCACCGCGGCGGCCCGGGTTCGATGTCGGGTCTGGTTAAATGGGATTTGTGGTGGACAAATTGGCGCTGGGGCAGATTTTCTCCGAGTGCTTCGGTTTCCCCCTGCCAGTCTTCATTCCACCAATTGCTCCACAATCACCCTCACCTATCATCTGGGGCTGGTACAATAGGCCAGAAGTGGCCCCAGTACAAGGGACTTAGTCGCACCCCACTAGCAATTAAAAAAAAAGAATTAGGTAAATACATAGCGCCACATCACAGAAGACAGCAACCTTCATATTTCTTCGTAGCTTCCACTTTCGCTCTCTTACCCTGAAGAAGGAGGCAGCAGGTTTCTGCTAAACTTCGGTACCTTTTTACCAGATTAAATGTCGTAGCATACCAGAAGAGAACAATCTTGATTTTCAGTCTCATTAATTCTCAAATCCTGCAAGTTTATAAGTTTAAAGACTAGGGCACAAATGCCTTTACTGCCACATTAGACCGTTATATTTAGAGCGGAAGTGAACGGTCTCTAAATGAGATGCTCAGTTCTCTTGGCGGTAAATTTGAATATTACTCTCTTCTGGTACACGTCCAAAGGAGTTCTCTACTCTGAAGATGGAGTCCTAGGGTTCCTCCGAAACGTTGTCACCTTTCTACTGTACTACGTTATTTTTATCATCGACTGAATTTATAAGATTTTACTTTATTTCAAAATAGTTTCTCTTACCTTAGGCCCAATGTCCGTTAAACTTATACGTCAAGCACTATAACCGTGTCGACACAGTACGACTATAATTTCAGGGCCGCCATTCCTCCAGTCTGTGACTTCATTAGGGTGCCATTAAATGAGAGTGTCATTAAATTACGGTACAAGCTCACTGACATGTCCGCGTCTTCACTTTCGAGAACTACAACCTAGTTTTCCAATCCGCTCATAGATGTCGACTCAATCAGCAAAGTGTGTCGTTTTACCGTAGCAGTAGAGGCCGTGTTATTGCATATGAACGTAATAGCGAAGTTACAGGGGGAGCTGTGTCTCCCCCACTGGTCGGTCTTCACCTCGCCCCACTAGCCTGAACCTCACTGCTTTTCCTGGCCGCCAGAGCAGTGGGCACGTTTTGCTGTCGATCAGCTGTTCGAACCATGTGCGAAGGGAAAAAAGTACAGGCTATTGCGCATAGCGTCATAGCTCTCTTCAAAAGTTGGCGCACTTGTTTACATTGTGTTCATGACTACAGTACTCAGTTATTTTACGGCATGTGAAAGTGTTTGATTTCGTTTTGTGTTGCTGGTTGGATATGTTGAAACTGTGGACTGAATTACAGATTACTGTGTTATAGCGCGCGCCTTGTATGTCCGCAGCACACTATGCAGTTGTGTATTGCTGGCTGCGACACAACACCGCATAGAAGGTGATGAGAGAGACACGGATACCGACAGAGCGAGAGAGAGAGACCAGAAATAACTGGAAGGGGAGAAGTAAAAGGAAAGACAAAGAGAGCAACAATACAGAAGAAAGGGGAAGTAAAGGAAGGAAACAGGCAAGTACAAAACGACTTTTCTTGTTTTCACCACCACTACTACCAGCAGTGTAGCAAAAGTAAAGAGAGTTTGTGCGAGTGTGTGTGTGTAAGAAGAGGCGTGCCCCGAAAACCTGAAGCAAGTCAGGCGGAACTTGGTGTTGAACCAATGAGAGAGCAGTGCTGTATAAATTGTGGACCAATGGCAGGCGATCTGCGCGTTTCGTGCGGATAATGACCGTTTTCTGAGCCTCTATCTCACTTGGAGCGCAGCCCCATTACAAAGTAAAAGACGTAAAAAAAAAAAAAAGAGTCAAGTTTTCCACCCTCCCTCCACGTTTTTATTTATTACTTTTGTGACTGTGGACTGTACTTCTTGTGCACATCTCATGTCCTCGGGAGCTTAGAGTAGCTGCCGGATGTAATTTCCACAGCGCGGAAAGCCCCCCTTCTCCGATAAAAACACAGCAGTGTGTGTGTATGTGTGTGTGTGCGATTACGGACCTTTCTTCTTCGTCCCTGTTTCCAGCGGGCGGTACCTAATCATCTTGTTTTGTTGTGTGAGCACTGGAAGGATAAGGTACATGAGGTGAACAGAGGAGACATCCAGATAGAGAGAACGAACACAGTGAGTGTTTTTAAGTTTTCTGCTGATTCCCTCCCCCCCCTCTGTCCCCAGGTTCTCTCTCGCTACGTCTTCCTGCGCTCTGTTGTCTCTCTCCTCTCTTATTGTGTGGAAGCATACAGTCAGTCAGTCAGTCGGACAGACAGACATACCAATCAGAAGCGGCACCACCTGGTTCCCGGCTCCAGATGGACTCGACACTCTGCACCAGTGACAATAGCCCGCATCGTCCTGGATACACCGGCATGGGTTTAGTCAAGTGCCACGAGTGACGATGGTGTTGAGCGTGTGATAAGTGCCAGCTGTAGCAAACTTTTCGTAGTGCAGAAAGTGATTTTTTTTTTGTTTCCAAGCAGCGGGTGAACTATGAGTATGGATTCCGTAATGGACTCTTCTTCCACCAACAGCGACCATAGTAGCAATGCCTCGTCTTCGGCGTCGCCTCCAGTCGCCATCAAGCCGCCTGTTACTCCCCCGAGCAGCAACAATAACAATCCCCCGGGGCCTCAGCAACCGCCTCACAGCCCACCGAGCATGGTGCGACAGCCGGGGAGCCCCAACGCAGTGCCTAGCGTCACACAACAGGCGCCGCCAACCCCTCAGCATCCGCACACACTGAGTCCTGTGCCCGTTTCCACCCCCAACAGCATCACTGCCGTACCTCCGAGGATATCACAGTCCGTGATGCCACCTCTGCCGCCCCCAGGCCTCGGCCTGCTCAACTCGCTGGGGGGCGGCATGATCCATCACTCGCCGCTGGACCTGATGGCCGCGGCGCACCATGGAGGCCCCCCCCGATCCTACAACAGCCCACCACCCATCTCGAGCTCTGACCCCACGGCCAATGAGTGCAAGTTAGTGGACTACCGCGGACAGAAAGTCGCCGCGTTCATTATCGCCGGCGACACGATGCTGTGTCTTCCTCAGGCATTCGAGTTGTTCCTCAAGCACCTCGTTGGAGGACTGCACACCGTCTATACGAAGCTGAAGAGACTCGACATAGTGCCTCTGGTCTGCAACGTGGAACAAGTTCGCATTCTTCGGGGACTCGGAGCCATTCAGCCGGGTGTGAACAGGTGCAAGTTGCTCTCGTGCAAGGACTTCGATATTCTGTACAGGGATTGCACCACCGCCAGGTAAACCCACCCTCACTTGCCTTAGTGTTCCGAGTGTCATACTTGTTCTAGTGGCAGCAGGAAGCGGGCGTCGTGCCTTATTGTCAACTCGTAAATATGAGGTCGAGGATTTGTATTGAAATGTTTAGCACCAGTAAATTGCCGTGATTCCTTATCGTTTTGTTAGTAGGTCAAGTTTTACGACACTTCTACATACGTCACAATTTTGATAAAGACACGCACCATGAATCTATTGAGGATCTGTAACAATATACTCCTCTTACACATTCGATGAAGTTTACATTTTACACACAAGAATTACACTTCCTCTGGTTTTTTTCGATACAGAATTAACTTTGAAGCTATTTGGAAAAACTCATTGGATGATAGATCGTAAATCTTTGTACTTAATCAAGACTTCTGATCTTCTAAATGAATTCGAACCAGAAATAGAAATCTTCTGTTGGTTCTAGACCGTGTTGCCACTGATATGTGCAGACATTACAGCAAATAGGTACGTTTTTCGTAAATGTTGTAGCCTAGCAACTGAAAATTTCTGTGCCTAGAAGAATAATTTTTGTTGCTTACGATTTTACACGTATGCGTGAGTTATTTAGTCCTACGTTCTTAAGTTGTAATATTTTCATCAGTCGAATATCGTACACTGAAAAAGAAATGTTCCATACTAAATAAAATATAATATCAAAGTGCTCGTTGAGACAGGATTACAAGTCCATCCTAAAAATACGTAGGACATAGCGAATTAAAACACTTTTGATTCTGTAAATTACAGATCTTAATACCCGCTGACTGAGTCTCGCATAATAATATCAGGCATTTTAGAAATTTAACCTTATTATAATTTTTGCAAGACGCTACAGTGTAGGCCTACGCAAAGGGTCTATTAATAAGACAATTGAATGTAGAAATTTGAATTCTGTTCCGTTAACATCAGCGGACTTCGCGTTTCAAATTCGAAAAAGCATTGAGTTTCGCCCTTTTTCCCTGCAAGGTGTACGTATATTTCGTTGTAATATTCAATTCTGTTTTCATAAGCTACAGGTATACGTTTTATCCATTTTTCTAAACCAATAGACCAATACAAAACATATCTAAAGAGGCTTGTTTCATTATTTTATTAAAAATATTATTTTCCGTAATCTTAATCTTCTCCATATCAGCCCTTTATTTTGGGCACCTGTCTTCTGGTAATAATTCCCTTGGTGCAGTATAATTTTTTTTTGTCTTTGCGGATTACGCCCTTTCGGTCTGTTCCAAATTACAATTAACTTATAAATTTTGCATCTTACTCGTAGTTGGTTGAAATCCTTAGATGGAGATAAGCCCATTTGAAGGTTTGTACCGATACAAGACAACACAAATATAGAATAAACATGGGCATACATCATTGTCTCGAATGGGGTTCGAACCACGATTCCAGCGTTCGAGGGATCGACAGCAATACATGCCTTGTACCGTGCAACCCCTCTGTTCGGATTGAGCATTCTCATACTCCAAAGAAATCCACTTTATAAGGGCAATTCCTCGCAAAAGAGATATTTGTGCGTAACATGGAAGGAGATATTCGATTTCGGAGTTGAGGCTTTCCGGCTCCTCTCAAAAAATCTTGTAATTATTGGGTTCAATTTTGAACGTGGGTGTATTGGGACGTAGCAGCGAACCGTCACCAGTCACATGAACGAATCAACAAAATTTAGATTAATTTGTGCGAAAAGGGATGTGGTTATTAAAAACCCGCTCCAGTGTGTAGGGGAAGGATTGAGAATTGACACAAGTTACGAAATCAAGCAGGGCAAGGCCCATACATTTTAAAATTGCAACATGCGTTTTTTATAGAATTGGCTTTGGGGCTTATTTCCTTTGCTGCTACTTCCCTATTCTGGACCACTGTCTGTGTGCTCTTTGTGTGTTGATGATGGCCACGCATAGAAGTTATACCTATTTCACTTAAACAAGCCTAAAACAAGCAGCACTGACTTGTTCAGTTGTTCGTGCAGTCAGAGCAAGAGCGACTGATAGCCCACTGCAAAGCGGGGCAGTGGAGATTCCCCTTCTGAGGCTCAAGTGTTCTCTTCATCAAACATGTCCAGTATGCTAGGCTACACAGCACTAAACAAATTAATTTTCTCAACATTAAAATTGAAAAGGACCTGCATAAACGATCTTATTCTCTAATTAAAAGTTTTCTTCTTCTTGGCTTTGCTGCACAAACGCATAATTCTACCACTTACCATAACCAAATACTGGAAGGAATTAAGATTAGGCGGTCTCATAAGGCAGACAACAGGTTTCATCCATCTTTTAAATACGTAACAATTTCATAAAAACGGTATTGGAGGAAACTGTATAATTATTGTGGAAATTATAAGAACCAAGTGACAGATACAAGGTTTCACATGCGTTTCAGCTTAGAAAACGGTGGTCAGTTGAAGCAGTATATTCGGCCTAAGTAATTTATTTTTCTTGTTCTTCTATTCCTATTGCCCCCAGTTTGGAGAATAGGGCATCTGTGGAACGCTGGTTTTACTTCAGTTTCTTAACCTTAAACAGCCGGTATTATTCCTTGTACGGGGATCAGCCCGACGCAAGGCCGCTACTTAACACAGACACAGAATAAAAGCAAACATACATCCATGCCTTGAATTGGATTCGAACCCACGATCCCAGTGCTCAAGCAGGTGAAGACAGTTCATGCCTTTGACCGCGCGGCCACTGTGATCGGCCCGAAGTGAATTAGATTTGTAAAAACTCTCTTCCACAATGAATACCAGACATATTTTTTTTGAACACGGATCATATAATATTATTTATTAGGATTGACATGTGGTTGGATCAATAATTTTATATCGCCCTTATTTCTTCATTTCGAAATTACAAAAAAAAAAAAAAAAAAAAAAAAAAAAAAAAAAAAATAGCAGTAACATATTTTTGGCATTCGTTACCGAATTATACGCGCATATGGTACATAATGATCCTAAGAACTGATATTCATTTTAGTTGTAGATTTCAGGCTACTAAGAGATGAGTTTGAAAATTCTTAGCCTGAATATCCTTTATTTGTCCCTTAATTTACTTCACGAAGAGGAATGCCCATAAAATCAAACGGAAGCGTCACAGTACCAATGAAAATTATACACTAGCAGATAATCGATTCTCTTAGGAGAAATCGTTAATTTATATATCGAGCGTCCTGTTCGGGTTCGATATTACAAGGATAACACAGCAAATTATGTCACTGCCACATCCTTTTATGTGCTTTGCATTTTATTATTAACTTTGGGGCAATGTAGCCTGAATTGGGAGCAGTATCGTCAAATCATGAAAAATAATGATTTTATATAGGAGAAGCGATAACATTTCAACTCATGACAACCAACAGCCCGTCTAGTAGCGTACAAGAACACGGCAGTCTGTTACTTGCAAGTGGAAGTGTCACTTGCACCACTTTTACAGGAATATCGGGTAATAGGAACGCAGGGAGATGGGAGGGTTCGCCGCTACTGTCTCATGACTAAATGATGACGTCTGCTGAGAAGGTTCCTCATCTCCTGCTTGCTCTTGTGGTCTGTGTTCTCATGATTACTGTGGGATAGAGTAGTTATATAAATTACGAATACGACATATCTGCTACATATTCCATAGCGGCGCCCGAAGGGTGTCACTGCATTAACTTGACCATTAAAATGCCCTCAGTCTGTTTGATGCTTGATCTCTTGCTCTAGAATTGACGGAGTTTTAGTTTTTCTAATCATTTTTATGGTTCGATCGCAGTTATTCATTGAACTGATCGTTAAGAACGCCTTCGAGCTCTGTGTTACATGATTTGTTTGCTAAATTTTGGTTTCGTTTTTCATTTTTGTTAATAATTTACGATTCTACATTATTTTTACGATTAAAATGCTTTGAATATATATATACTGGACGAGCTGATCTTTCATAATTTGTGATACTACGATTTCTATACTCATTTGTATAGTTAAATCACCATTCTGTATTAACTAGAAAATTAGAATAATATCAGTCATTTACTTGCACGATTTATATCCATCAGAATTGATATTTTTTTATTTCTGTAGCCTGCTCATTTTATGGGTAACTTGCCAATGAGATTTAAGTTATGAGGTGATAACGAACTGACTGTAGTGGGCATGTAGTGTGCTTACTGATATGGGGTGTCCCTCCGTTCAAACATACCCACTCCTCGAAAGAAATATTTAGTTTTGCCAGATTTGCTAAGATGTTCCCTGAGACGGTGTCTAGAAGTAAGTTTGGTAACGTAAACGTAAATTTGTTCCTGTACTTAACCAATCAAGCACTACGCCATAAAGGCGTATGGAGTAATTGATGTATAAATCCACATTATCTTGACCTCGGCACTAGCTGGAGCTAGTTGAGCTCTGTTGATGACGTAAATAGCTATTATTGGTAATTCAGTTAAAAAAAATGAGAATTTTAAAACGAAAGACAGATACTTATTTTCATGGGGCACGCGGTAGCGTAGTTGGTTGAGGGATTATGCTAAAAACCGGAAGGTTACGGTTTCGATTCCCGATGAGGTCATTGGATTTTTTTCAATTGACCTAATCCTTCCAGCCGCACTATGGTCCTGGGTTCGACTCAGCCTCTTAACAGAAATGAGTAGCAGGAATCTTCCTGGGGATGAAGGACGGCCGGCGGGTAAGGCTGACAGCCTCACCACAATATCAGTTTAGTTTAGAGTTATCAGTAAAATGGTCCATGCTGTTTATTTTAAACGGTGTAGACCTATGCATGCTCGTAAATTGCGATCAGATTAACACAGTCACAAAGTTCTCACGGCGGTTGGTATGAAGTATTCTGCATTCCGAGATATAGCGCCATGTGGTCCGTTGAAAGTCAACTGACGTTTCGGAGGAACATGTCACCAAGCCAAGCAAATAGCAAGCAGTAGGTATCCCCGTTTCGTTGCTTCTCTTCCAGAAATACCCGACCTCCAGTTTGCGTTGTACTCCCACCGCCTC